GGGGGGGGGGGGGGGGGGGGGGGGGGGGGAAATGTTTTGTATTTGTAGTAAGTAGTCATGTACGCAGGGAATTCGTCCACACCTCTGCTCAGAAGACAAGAGAGAGTCCATCACGACGTGGTAGAACCTGCGCGCACCAAACTCTGCACATTTGGAGACGACGTTCCGCGAGGAATCCGTTTTGCAAATCTGAGGGAAAAAAAAGACAATGACAACATTTGTACAGTTCATCAGTTCCATTGAAATTTTGTCACAACGCACTTTTAATACCACATTTACTCGAGTATCACGCGCATCGGGGCATTTCAGTTGAAAAACTTGATAAAATCCTAAATCCCAAGTAAGAGGTGCACCCCATTTAGTGACTCTAAAACAACAATACAGTACTGTATTTCAAAAACAAGAACACCCAAATTTGAATTTACTATACAGTATACATGAATTCGACTGATCCTTCAATTTTTTTCCATTTAACTGAAGTTTTCATGTTGAACTTGGTCCAAAGTTTCCCACTGGAATCAAGCAACCCTTGAGTTATACAGTAAAACTTTTTGAAAAATGCAGTTCTGCCCAATACCATGCACACCCTCCCCTCTTTTCCTCTCAAGTTTGAGAAAAAAAGGTGGGAGTGGTACTCAAGTAAATACGGTTACAGGTACAACAAATTCGTTCAAAGATCATGGCATTATAAACAGTATTAAAAATCTGACATGAAAAATTTCCAGATTCTGTGAAAAGTCGTTTTTGCGTGATTTCAATATTTTCCATCAGAATAACAGCACCAGAACATATGTTCAAATAACATAACGGCTTTCGGACAGAGACTTAAATACAAATTCGTTGTAATCAACAATTAGTTACATCAGGGTTCATTGCAAAGATATTATCTTGTACTGTATTAGGATACTTGGACTTGGCAGAAAACAGTGTCCTGGGTACGATCACCCAATTAAATCATTACTCCGATTTCAGCTCACGATTACCTACAATAACCGCTCAATTATGCCGCTGAACGTGAAAATGTTAGCTTCAGTTCATAAAAAATTACATGCATAATACTGTACCGTATGACAATATTTTAGGAGCACAAACAACATTTGCAAAACTAGATTGGAACAAACCTTTGAGGATCTATCTTGCTGGGCAGTCTCGGATTCCCCGCCACGTCGGTGGAATAACTCCTACAAGACGCCAATTTGGACTCCAAAGCCTGTTGAAAGAATTCAAAAATTCATAATTACAAAATAACGAAACTCGTTCGCTTCTATTTATCGATTGAAGCGAGTACGAAACTAGAAAACACACAAAACAAAACAATCTGACACACACTTGATTATTCATTATTTTTCCGAAATTGAAGGCGAATTTTAAGATTAGCCTGTTCACTTAATACTGTACCTCAACTTCTGAGCTCCACTTTGTGATCTGCTTGAACGTTCGTATTCACGTACTAAGATTTTAGCATCGGTGAATAATTCATAGTAATTTCACGAAAGAGTTGTTGAAACCTCAACATTTTATAAAATAGTTAGAATCACAGGTCTAATTGTCATACGGATTTCACTAGAAAAAAAGAAGACTCCCCAGAACAAAATTCTTCATACACTCAACTTTTTCTGGTCCCCATCATATACCTCCCATAAATGTGCAGCTCTACAACAGAAAAAAAATACCAGAAGTACAGTATATACTTTTGATAATTTGATATACTGTATATGATAATTCACTCTTATGATTTTCAACCAAGGTTCAAAACCGATAATAGACCATTGTTAAAAGTGCATCACAAGAAAAAATCACTGTGAAAAGAACACCGTTAACATTCCAAACTCAGATTTTCTAAAAATGCAAAAAAATTCTCTGAATGTAACAAAACAAGTTGAACAATGCCTGAGATTCAGATAGCTAGGTTCCAATGAAGAAATACTCTGATCTTGAGATTTTTGTGTGTGTCAGTGACGATTGCATTGTAAAGATTGGATTATCAAGTCAGGCAAGAATTAGTCCATTTAAACGTGACACTAAAAGAAAATCCACAGCAGATGAAAAATACGCTTGTTTCAAGTCTTATAATTAAACTTACAGTGGCCAAGAGGATCCTTTCAATACTCAAATGAATTCCTTTCAAAACACAATTAAACTTCTGAAGTATCCCGATTCCTGGGTAACATTGTTTGGGAGAAGATATCAGCTTTGTTTCAACTAAATTCTGAAGACAATGGAGTTCGGAAGTTGAGGCGTCAAAATAGAGTCGCAAGTCACAAGCAATGATATAGCTCAGATATCAGTGGTTTGCAGCCACGCCAGGAAAAAACATACAATTTTAGAATTGCAGTACTGTATTGAAAGTTTTTATTATAATAAAAAATCCATTATAAAATTTTATGTTGCAGATTATAGGTCCCTTGCGCAATAGCCACCACGTTATTCAAATTTCTACCCAACAAATATTTTGTTATAGGGGGGGGGGGGGGGGGGGGGGGGGGGGGGAGGAAATGTTTTGTATTTGTAGTAAGTAGTCATGTACGCAGGGAATTCGTCCACACCTCTGCTCAGAAGACAAGAGAGAGAGTCCATCACGACGTGGTAGAACCTGCGCGCACCAAACTCTGCACATTTGGAGACGACGTTCCGCGAGGAATCCGTTTTGCAAATCTGAGGGAAAAAAAAAAACAATGACAACATTTGTACAGTTCATCAGTTCCATTAAAATTTTGTCACAACGCACTTTTAATACCACATTTACTCGAGTATCACGCGCATCGGGGTATTTCAGTTGAAAAACTTGATAAAATCCTAAATCCCAAGTAAGAGGTGCACCCCATTTAGTGCACCTCTAAAGACATTACTCTAAAACAACAATACAGTACTGTATTTCAAAAACAAGAACACCCAAATTTGAATTTACTGTAAAGTATACATGAATTCGACTGATCTTCAA